CAGTACCATCTCTGGGGTGCCACCTACCCCCTCCCCGCCTCTATCAGAGGCAGTGCGGGGCCGGGGGAGGGGATAGGGAATGCTGCTGCGAAGCAGCCCCTGTCTGCAGGGATTCCAGCAGGGAGCTGGGCTTCCCCATGGACAGGGGCTGTTGCTGCCCTGCAACTCCTGTTCGTGGTGGCCAGGGCTGGCCACAGCCAGGGGCTACTCAGGAATCAGTCCCTGTCCACGGCCAGCCCTGACTGCCATGAACAGGGGCTGCTGGACTCACCGTGAGGCAGGACAAGCAGTCTCAGCTCGTGCTGATCGCTGCACCTCTGCATTTTGAACATAGTAAGAGCCCAGTGACTCTTACTGCATTTAAAATGCAGAGCCGCAGCGCGGGAGGCTCTGGAGCTGGCATGAGCCAGGACTGCTCAGTCCTGTCTCGAGTCGGCTCCTCTGGCACTACCCCTGCTGTGGCTCTGCAGAGGTGCTTTTTGACTAATCGTGAGCCAAATAATCGCACTTTAACAGCCTTATTCCCAGTGAGACTCTTGTGACCAGGTTGGGTGGATTTGTATTGTCGTCTTTTTTAAAATCCAGCCCTCGGTGATCTGAGCTCTTTGAAAGCCGAGCGTCAGTCAGCACTTCTGTTTTTAAATTGGTGCTGGTTTTCTTCAGTACAAGGAATGGGAGTCGTTAGCACTGACATTGTTTGCACTATTGATCTTTTCACAAACTGAAATAAAATAATTTTTCTCAACAACTGGCTTCCCTGAGGGACCCTATTTTTCGATCTGATTGGTTTAGTTAAGATTTCAAATGTCATTTTCTATTAACAGTCTGTGGAAGTATTGTAGAGGGAGTGTTACATTGAGCACTCTTTACTGAGGGCCTCTTCCACTGAAGTCAAGAGAGGTCTGACTGCAGCAGGCATTGGGTTCAGGCCTTTATCTTAGTTCCCCAAAAAGATGAGGTTCGCAACAAAAGAACATACCACAGAATACCATGTTCACCTTCTCAAATGTTCCTTCCAGCTGCAGGAAGGGAGAACTTCCTGGGGGGAACATTGTCTGTCTTCACTTCCCTGTGATCTAGGGGGCTGAAGAATTTTGGTTCCCAAGATGCTATCTGACTTTGGAAAAAATCACAGAAACTTCTCTTTCCTTAGTTTCTTCATCTGTAGAATGAGTGAAGCCAAAGTAGCTTATAAAATTCCTTTGTGTAAAAAGCCCTGTAGAAATCCGAGGGGCTATTTCAGGGTATTAATAATCAGCCGTATTTATTTGTATTACTAATTGTATCAGTGAGGCCTCAATCCTTTGCAGTTTCTTTTCAGGGAGGAAAACACGAGAAACCCTGATGTCCTCTGCCATACAAGGGTTGTATTCTCCTGGCATAGTTACAAGGAACACTGAGAGCCAACAGAGTAGAGAAGCAGAAGCGGTAAACACATGAGACTTGACAATGATGGATGTATGAATAGAAGGTGGCATGTGCTCACCTGCTCCCTTGATGCAGGGAAAGGAACGAGGTCGTCGGTTACCAGTCTTGCAGCACTGAGCCAGCCTTTGGTACACACTGGTCTATCAAACGCTGGCATGAATGGAGCTTTGTGGTAGATTAGCCAGAAGCAGAGTGGGACTGACTTTGTCACTGAGTGAGTGTCCCTCGATATGGGAGTGACAGCATCCACTAACAATGCTTCTGGATGCCCCCATTTACTTGTGGGCTGCAGGAGAAAAATGAGAACTGCTTCCCAGAGACATCTGCATCTTGCTGCAGCAGAGGCTGTGCGGCAGAGCTGGTGTTTGTGAAAAACTACAGGTGAAAAAGACCTGTGTCTAATCCATCTTCATGTACGTTTCCATACTGTACACTGACTATTGTTTTGTCCAGATAGCTTTGTGTTTCTTGAGACTGCTGTTTCTGCTCTTCCTTAGGGACTCTCAACTCCCTAGTAGATCTAGCAGCTAGATGTTTTTGTGATAAGTCACGTAGAAGTTTCCTTTTCTTGGCTGCATCACATTACTTTCAGTTCCAGTGTAGTCCTAAGTAACAGCTCTCTCTTCTTGGTGTGCAAGGGCCTGGGCGACTGACTGTCTTTACTGATGTTTACTGCCCGGGGGGACTAACTCTGTTATGCTATGGTTTGGTGTTGCCTGTGCAGATGGTCCTTCACACACTGTTCTAGCCACGGAGCCCTGGGTTAACAGCTGGTGTGTGTGTTTCTGGTCACTGCGCATTTTGGTGTAATCCATGCAGACAGCACCAAACCCTGTAATAACATGTTGATCCCCCAGCAGTGCATAAACATGGTTCGTTTTGGGGTACAGGTGGGCGCAATGACTCTCCCAGTTACTATCATTTTGTTTTCTGTCTTTGTGGGTCCTCTGTGTCCAGTTTTGTGGTACAGGTGGGCCCAATGACTCTTCCAGTTACTATCATTTTGTTTTCTGTCTTTGTGGGTCCTCTGTGTCCTAATCGGGCTTGGAGATGCCACCTGCTGTCCACTTCCAGCCTTGAGGACTCCAGATCCAATCCCCGTCCTTTTGCCCATGGAGGTGTGTCATGTTTTGTCCAGTTATCTGGCCACACTACTCCTTAACCAGCTGGGGAAGGGGGGGATTAAGGTCATGTGAAACATTTACCCTTTTCCTCAGAGACTGATTTTTTCCCCAGCTTGTGCTGGGTTTGGGGGAAGAGGGAGAGGCGAAGATGGGAGCCAACACCTGGATGCCTACAGAGTGGAGTATTTGGGGACTGACCATCAGGGAGTGCAATGCCTCCCTTCCAATGGGCTCTCCCAGTCTCTGCCGCATGCACAACAGAGAAGAGCCAGCTGCAGAGAGCAGACAGAGAATCCAGCCAGGCTAAATCGCAGCAGCTGCAGTGATGTCTCTAACTTTGTTACTGTCTATCCTTAGCTGTGGGCAGGACAATGCCAAGGCTATGGGATGCCAGCAGTCCCCATACGGCCTTTGTAGGCTACCACCATTGCAGGTCACAGTGCAGTGGTCTCCAGCCTCTTTAACCACAAGGTCACTTTTTCAATTTAAGTGCAATTTAAGATCTACCTCAAACCCAAAGACCCGTACGCCGCTTCCTTCCCACCCCTTCTTCAATGCCCTGCCCCTGCTCTACCCCTTTTTTGAGGACTCTCCTTGCTCACTCCATCCCCTTTACTCCCCCATCCTCACTGAGGGTACGTCTGCACTGCAGCGCTGTTTTGGGATCCTTCCGGTATCCCGAAATAGCTATTCTGCATCTTGACAGCGCACCCGTTATTACAAAATATCTTTCGGAATAATGGGCGTGCTAGTCCGACGTCCCTGTAAGCCTCCTTCCACGAGGATTAAGGGACATTTTGGAATAGCGCATAGCACGAATTGTGTAGCATATTTCGAGCTAAGGGTGCTGTGTAGATGCACCCTCAGTTTCACCAGGCTGGGGTAGGAGGTTGGGGTGCAGGCTCTGGTCTTAGCCCAGGGTGGGGTACAGGAGGATTTCAGGGTGCAAGCTCTGGGAAGGAGTTTGGGTTCAGGAGGACTCATGTCTGGGGCAGGAGGAGGTTCAGGGTTGGGACAGGGGTTCAGGAAGCAGGCTCTGGCTGGGCACCACTTAACTGAGATGGCTTCCGGGTGGTAGAACAGCGGGGTTAATGCAACTTACTCCTGCCCTGGCTCTGCACCACTCCTGAAAGCAGCTGGCATGAACAGCAATGGCTCTATGGCACCATGTGCTGCCCCTCATCTACAGGCACTGAGCCCACAACTTCTACTGGCCATGGTTCCCCATTACTGATCAATGGGAGCTGCAGGAGAGGTGTCTGCAGGCAAGGACGGCATGTGGCGACCCCCTGCTCTGCCTTTCTCAGGGGCTGCAGGGACATGCCAGCCACTTCCAGGAGCCAGTGCAGGGTGGCAGCAGCCCCTGTCCAGGAGAGGTCTGAGCTCCCGGACTCGGTGCAAGTCGGGACTGAGCTGGGCTGCCCGCCTGTCCAGCTCCTAATACACTTTAAATGCAGAACTGCAGCAGGGGGAGGTCCTGGACCCAACGCAAGCCAGGACAGAGCCAGGCTGCTGGCCAGCCTGCTAAAATGTACTGGTGTGGGGGGAGGGAGGAAATGCGTGTGGTCTATAGCATTAACCTATACGCTTTTGCTTATCGGTTACTCGACTACACTATTACAGCCATAATTGAAGGTAAATGATTTCGTTTTGGAGATTATTGTTCAAGTTTCTGCCACTTGAGACCATTTCCAGTACGGTGGAAGACAATTGCGTCCGCTCTGTGTTCCAGTACGCTGGGGTAAATTTACCCCAATGTGTGAGACCTCTCCCCTCTTCCTGTCCCTTACATGAGACTCCTCCCCCATCCTCTTACAGGATATGGGGAGGGGGCAATTCTCTCAGTGGAGCAGGGTTTCTCTTCCCCTCACTCTGACCAGGGCACCCCCCTAGGCAGGGATGATCCCAGACTGGGACTCTCTTCTGCCTGGCCAGCGCTTCCCCGTCATAGGACAGGCACCAGGTGTGAGCAGGGATCTGTTGCGAGCAGTTGCAGGACAGGCCGGTGGCCGTCTGTCTCGTCCCATTTACGGGGGTGGGGGCTGGAGCCCAGTGCCTCCCCCTGGTACCTGCGGGAGGGGAAACAGGCGCTGGCAAAGTTTGTCTCTATGGCCGGCTGCCAGGCAGCTCCCAGGCAGGGTAGCGAGTCTTGCTCGCCTTGCTCTAAGACTGTGCCTGTTCTCTGCTGTACTCAGGGCTGAGTGTACCCTCCCATTCCCCCCATGTTAGTTTGGATGACAAGCCATGTGGAGTGTCCACATAGTAAACTCTACTGGGAGGTGAAGCAGAGATGCGATGGGGCATTGTTATACTGGGAGGCGTTAATAGGCGCCATCTACCATTTGTCAGTTGTCTGTGGATCAAACCTCTCCTGTGGCTTTTGCTAATCAAGTGGTAGGGACTCCATGTGCCCCCCATTTCCCCCCTTTGTTTTCTGCTTTCCCCCAGGATCAAGAAGGTCCTGGCCCTCGATACCTGCAATGCTCTCTGAGATTCTGGAATTGATTGGCTGCATGTTCAGTAGTTATCACATGACAGACAGACTGACAAAGAAATGCCATCAAGCTCGGCCAGTAAATCAGTGATCCTAAAACCTGTCTCAGATCATCACTGGGGTGCTGGGTGATCATCTCCCCGAGAAATATCAGCTCAACAACTGACAGTGAGTTGGGGGCAGGAAAAGGGGGGTGCTGCTATCTTACTGAAAGGAAAGTTGATGTTTTAGCCTTGTTTTTCCCACTTTGCCTCTCTTAGTCTTTATTCTAGCTTGAAGGAAATTTGTACATGCAAACCCCTCCCGCCGTTCCATTGCCAAAGGACGTAGGCAGGATGTACGTATTTCAAGGGCTTTGTGATGTAAATTAGCATTTCTAAATGATGTACGTTGTAGCAATAGCAAACCGCTATTCTTGTCCTGGTAAAGTCTTCATCTTGCATGTTTTCCTCTGGAGAATGCTCCCCTGTGGAATTGAGCTCTTCTGCATGTTTGAATTTACCAAGAATCTGACACCCACGTACTCCTGCTTTCAACCTAAATGTCAGTAATTCAGTTTCTGAAGAATTCCTAACTTAGGTGAAACTCAGGATGTCAGTACTGGAACACTGAACCTTTGAATTCAGCAGAGTGCGCTGATCTGTTGATTGCATAGCTTGCATGGTGTGAGAGCCGATGATGAGAACTGGGGAGGTGGGGAGGAAGAGCACCCACCCATGAGGAAGTATTTGGGGGAAGTTTTCTGTGTTCCACGGGACAGGCTAGATGATCACCATGTCTTTCCTGGCCTTGGAATCTGTGACTCTTTGAGCTATGGCCATCACTAAGAGCATATGTGGGTTTTCAGGAGAACACAATTGGTGGTGGGAAGCTAGGTTGCCATTTTAAGAGAGAGAGTGGCCTGCTGGTTAGAGCAGAGAACTGGGAGTAGGGTCGCTGGTTCTGTTCCCAGCTGTGTGTGTTCTTGGGCAGATCTCTCAGGGAGGGAGTTTTACATATGCCTGCTACTAACATCCTTCAGCACATTTGACCATCTCTCCTGGGCTTGTGTGCCTCAGTTTTCCCCCTTTGCAAAATGAAAAGAACGGTTACCATGTCAGGACCTGCTGAAGTGTAACTAATGATTCAATACGGATTCTAGATTGCTTTTAATTCCTGGGCTGATGATCATCAGGGCTAGATTCTGGGACCCTTCCATGCATTGAACAGTATCGTACAGCACAGGTGTTCTCTCGGGGGGTACCTGAACCACTCTGCGCGTGCCGGGGGCAATAGTGATTGTTCTGCACTGTCAGGTTCTGTTTCGTTACACAGTCCCTAGGCAGACTTGTTTTAAATGTTCGAGAGGGGGGAAGGACGTGATGTCTCCAGTAACTCTTACCAGTGTTTTCTTTGTTTTGCATTATTCTTTACTGTCTTGGTTTCTATCAGGCATGGATGGGAAGAAATGCAGCGTGTGGATGTTTTTACCTCTTGTCTTCACCCTGTTCACTTCAGCTGGACTATGGATAGTGTAAGTGACCTTCTGCTTGGGTTTTGGGGCACAGGCAAGGGGACTTGAGTTAATAATACATTCCCAAGTTAGAGATGTTAAGTAGCAAGTAAAAGATTAATCATGTACATGATACAATTTGTATCGCATGCACAATTAGTTGATAAGGGGCTGCTTCGGTGCCACAGTTTAAATGTAATAGGAGCCGGCTGTGCAGGCAGTCCAGCTCTTACACATTTAAACTGCAGAGCCGCAGCAGGAGTAGGTCCGGGACCCGGCGTGAGCTAGGACTTCTTCAGTCCCAGTTCATGCTGCGTCCCGACCTTTGTGGCTCTGCCTTTTGCTGCTGCGCCTCTGCCTCCACTGTCCTCCCTGCATCGCAGAGCTGGTGCTAGGGGGAGCCAGCTTTTAAGCTGGCTCCCCCCAGCACCGGCTCCTGCTTCCCCCTCAACCTCACCTCTGATACAGAGGCAGCTGGGAGGGGAATGTGGGTAATTGACTTGACTACTTGATAAGCCTGGGCTTATTGGGTAGTTGACTATTCGACTACTCTTTTACATCCCTATCCCAAATATTGCAAGGGAATGGACATTGTACTAGAGAGAGTTGCTCACTGACCCTCCCCCCCGAGGCAACTCCTGTACTGCTTATATTGGGCTGGATTGGCAGCTGGTGATTGGCTTTCAGCAAGAAGCAGCATGTAGCTGCATTGCCTACGGGCAGGGCAGCTCACGACTTGCAGAGACACATTTTGGTCCCTGCTTCCCCCTGGCTCTGTAGAGGAGCAAGCTGCCACCAGCCCTTTTCCTGGCACGACTTCCTTCTGCCTCTGTGTTGGCAAGTTGCAGGCAGCAGAGCCAAGGTTCCTCCCAGCCCTTTCCCTGGCCCATCCGCTTCTGCCTCATTCTCCCAGAGAGGCTTCTCTCCCCCCATACAGTGTGGTCTGCAATGCATTGGACACACTGAAGAGTAAGGGCACATTTTGTGACTCTGAATTCACCTGTACAGTTGCATGGGCCTGCTCACAACTGAGACCTTAGTGAAATAGTATTGAGAGTCATTATGTACCTTAACTTCTTGTTTTAAAATGTGGTTTAGCAGCTGGAAATGAGGAGAAGCAACCAGCTCTCCCCAGACCTGCAGCAATTCTGCACTGGTGAGGCCACATCTAGAGTACTGCATCCAGTTCTGGGCTCCCCACTACAGAAAGAATGTGGACGCATTGGAGAGGGTCCAGTGGAAGGCGACCAAACTGATTAGGGGACTGGAGCACATGACCTACGAGGCTGAGGGATTTGGGCTTATTTAGTCTACAGAAGTGAAGAGTGAGGGAGGATTTGATAGCAGCCTTCAGCTTCCTGAAGGGAGGTTCCAAAGAGGATGGAGAAGGGCTGTTCACAGTAGTGAGGCATGGCAGAACAAGGAGCAATGGTCTCAATTACAGTGGGAGAGTTCTAGATTGGATATTAAGAAAAACTATTTCCCTAGGAGGGTGGTGAAGCACTGGAATGGGTTACCTAGGGAGGTGGTGGAATCTCCATCCCTAGAGGTTTTTAATTCTCAGCTTGACAAAGCCCTGGCTAGGATGGTTTAGTTGAGGTTGGTCCTTCTTTGGGCCGGGGCTGGATTTGATGACCTCCTGAGGTCTCTTCCAGCCCTAGGATTCTATGAATTTGCTTTTGGCCACGGTTCAGGAGCCTTGCATTAATGATACTCCAACTAATGAGTATGTACATTATGGTTGCAGTTGTAACAGTAATTGCTGGATTTTGACCCCTGTCATGTCAACAGGGAATTAACCTTTTTTAATCCTGGCCCATGTCAGATGACTCAAGTCAGAAAATAAGGGTTAGTCTCTTAGCAACTCTCTCACATCTCACACTTGTATTACTGTAGCATGTGCCGATTATACATTGGTAAACGTCTCCAATAGAATTCTCTTTCCACTCAAGTCATTGACAATTCTCATTAATTTCAGTGGGGGACAGTATTTCATGCTGGATGTAAAAAAGAGAAAAGAACAGCGCTAGTTTTAAAGGTGGAAATGGTTTATGCAGTATACAGTAGAGAAGTGACCTCATTCGGTAGGGCAGGTGGACATTGTGAGAACTGTTGCCTCCAGGTAATCTTTAAATTGCAAGTGATTAGCACTGCAGAAATAAATAAGGCTAAATTGCAACTGTCCTATAATTAGATGGACTGGAATCTTAGTTATCTGGTTACAGTATCCACAATGGCTCTTCCTGTTTGCATTTCAATTGTATCGTATGATCTATGTGACCAAAAGGTACAAAACCTATCCCCAATGGTTTCTGCTAGACTGCTTCAATTCTTCTTCATATTAATAGCTCTCTGCTGCGGAAGCAGAAGACAAAGACTGAATAGCCATATTATCCTTTATTACAACAGCTTATCTTTGATATCAGTAGTGTCAGTGGTAGTAGCAAACAGTGTTGTGATCTGTGGTCAGAAATAATTACCTTCAGGAAAACAGGGGCTTTGATTAACGTTGCTAATCAAGGCCCCACTTTGAAGTAGCACTTCAGCACATGCTTAAATCTAAGTAAGTGTGACTGATTTCAATCCAATGTTAGCACATACTTAAAGTTAAACTGAGGCTTCAGAGCTTTCTTGAATATGAATGGATATTACACTCTTAAAAGTGCTTTCTTGAATTGGGCCCTAAACAAATTTATAAATGAAAAAACATGGTTGTCTGGGTATTGTATTTGCATTGTTTATAGTTTCTAAACTGCTTCTTTCTTCTTTTGGCAGATATTTTATAGCTGTGGAAGATAACAAAATTATCCCATTAAACCTGCCAGATGGGTAAGAGTTTATTGCTGGAGTTTGTTGTTGGTGATTGTTTTTTAAACGAATAACTTATAACAAAATTTTTTAGAGAGAGACAAAACAGCAAAATCTTTAATTCTGGCTTCTGTTGTGTGTTTTTTTTTTTGTCACCTAGGAAAGCTGGTTCCAAAAGCCCCCCTTACATAAGGTAACCAGATTCTCCCTCCCCTTTCTTCCCCAAGTATCATGATAAATGAGTGTTACTTACTTCTCTCTTTAGCTGTCTTAGTAGAGTTACAATGATACGCTTTATATTTTTGAAGTATTGCAGGTGATGCACCCCCTGCAAGCTGTGTATTTAGCCAAGTCATGAACATGGCAGCATTTCTAGGTAGGAATCGCATGGGGATTTTTTGTTGTTTCTTAATTCATGTTAAGTCATTGGAACATGAGTAAAATCCAGTAGATGTTGCTGTAAAAGCTGATTATTTTGTAACTATTCAGAAACAGAACAAAACTGGATACATGTCACCTTCATAACTTCCCATTTTATTCTCTTCTTTTATCATTTCACCTTAACCTTGAGTCTGCAAGACTGTGTGTTTTTGGTGCATGGAATGATATTTTTTTTGTTTACCGAGACTGTAAAATCCTGCATGGGATAGTGTAATTAATTGGTCGTTGCATTTGACAAAATGTTATTTTTGAGGGTTTTTTTAAATTCTATTAGTAAAAATATGAACGTTCACAACTTCCTTCTTATATGGGTAAAGCTTTTTACTAACACGTTAGATGGTTATAAAGCTTGAAAAAAAAAGTTATTGTTTTTGTCAATAAAACTTTGTTATACCTGAGATTCTGTAAGTATTTGCTCCTGAATCTGTGTAAGCAAATTAATCAAAATGATTATGCTGAATTAACATTTCATTGTTATTGGCAAAGACAGACTTAGTGACATTGCTGTGAATGTGGTGGAAATGCCACTCCTCATAATTAACGCAGAGCTGTGCACTTAAAACAGGGATGCGGCCTCTTTGTCCCCCACACAAAGTTCAGCGCATTCCCAAACCCAGGAAATTCAGGGTTGGGGTGGCACTCAAATGTGAATGTGTTAAGGGTAGAAAGGTACAGTCAGGGCATCCAAACAGCCTTAACTCTGCCCTGGAGTGACATAGTAAAGGCAAATGTGTGTGTGTGTTGGGGGGGATCTAATTACTTTAAAATCAGTTTAACGGCAAACACTGTAATGCATCATCATCATGGTGTGGTTTTTTTCGTGGTATCACTCCAAGGCAGAGTTAACGCCAAGAGTAAATTGCAACATCCAGCTTAACCATAGATCTGCTGTGTGACCTTAGGTAACTCACTTCACCTCCCTGTGCCTTTGTACTGATACCTCCTTTACAAGCCCCCTGATGGGGGTGGGGAAAGGGGGCAGTTGCCCTGGGACCTGGTTATTCAAAGAGGCCTGGGCAGAGGCTGCAGCAGTGATGGTGCCTGGAGCCACGAGCTGTTTAAATTGCTGCCGTAGTGCTCCATGCAGCAATTAGGGCTAGCTGAGGAGGCAGGGGGGCTGTTCGGTGCCCTCCAGGCAGCTCTGGGGAAGGGGGAGGGATCATGCTGTGTGATGCTGAGGACTGGCTGCCCTTGACCTCGCACCTTCCAAGAGCATGGATCTCCCTGCACTTGCCCAGAGGCATGGTGTGGCAAGCGGCTCACCTGCCCCTTCGTTAAATGCTTAGAGACCTGCTGATGAAGAGGCCTGTAGAACAGCTTGGTCGCATAATTACTGTGCCTGAAAGTACGGATATGTACAGTAAGATGGAGTGAAAGTTGAGAGTAGACTTTTGAAAGGAACTATCTCTTATAGACACTCTTATTTATGGCCAGAACCTCATCTAGTAGAAATCAGCCTGCTTCACTGTCCAGATGGAGCTGCACTAGTTGACACTGTCTGTGTGGTCCTTGCTCATAACATGTATATGATTGATTTTTCTCTCTCTCTCTCTCTCTCGCACACACACACAAAGCTAATTATGGTTCTATACACATCATTTCAATCTATGCTCTCAAAATCAAATATAACACTATATACTTTGGAATCATCATCTCAGATTCCAGTGTCTTAGTTAATGCACATCTTCCTGCTGCGCTACTGAAATTTAAAGCCCTACTCTCCTGCAGTCAGCTCTGTAGACTTTGCATTCTCACAAAGCCCCATTAAAGTCCCTAGGCTTCTGTGTGTGTGCAGGAGCCTACCTGTGTGCAGCCCTTTTTTTTTTTTAATCTGAGCTTTTATTATGTGCATGAAAATGAATGAAAGTTGTTTATGCAGTTGTGATGAAAGAAAAAAAGAACTAGATATTGAAGCTAAAACCTACTACTTTCCATCAGCATTTTCTCTCTCTAGTAATTAATCACCCATTATTACTATAGCTATGTAATCTCACCCAGAATAACTATAACTATGGAACCCCCAAGGCTGGAAATACAACCGATTTGTTATTAGATTAATGCCCATAAGCATATCAGGATAAAGCAGTTTGCTCTAATTAGCTCTGAGGCCATGTCTTCACTAAACGGAAGATCAATGCTGCCACAATCAATCTTCTGGAGTTTGATTTAGCGAGCCTTGTTAAGACTTGCTAAATTGGACTCAGAGTGAGCCCTTGCCAGCAGCTTCTGCAAGGAATAAGGGTGCCGAGGTCAGTGACCTTTTGTGTAGGATACTCTTTTAGTTTTCCTGCATAACTCCCTTTGGCATTATTAGGCATACCACATGCATAAAAGGGATTGCTCAATCTTAGAGGTAGGTAAAATTGTCATGCAATTTTTCATGGGAAGTTTTCATTCTTTGAAGAAGGCTGTTTTTCAATTAAAAATGTTGGGGCTGGATGCTCTATAGGTGGGTCCTCAGCACTTAGATCAACAAAATGATTTTGCTTTCTGAGCATTATAGTGCTATGTGGGTGTTCCACATCACACCTATGCAGCTCTTTGGTTCTAGAAGTAGGCAGGGAATGTTTTTCACATCCTTTAAGCACTTTTGAGATATTAGAGGTGGGGAGAATCTACCTTGAATAGGGCCTTTTTCTGCCTGGAAAAATTAAAATCCAGAAAACTTTTGTGACCTGAAAATCTGGAAAAAAAAATAGTTCGGGTTTCAACCATTTCGCTTCAATAATTTCATTTGTGATTACAACTATTTTTTTAAAATAATGGATATAATCTTACATTTCAAAGCGAAAAGTCAAAACAAAACTGGAATTTCTAATTTAAATACTTGAAAACTAAATATTTGAACAACTTAATTTTTCAACTAAAAAATAAAAAAGTTTATAAAAAAACAACCCTTTCCTGAAAACAGTTTTTGTTTGGATGAATCAGAATTTTCTAATGAAAAAAATTTAAGAAGAAAATTCCTAATCAGCTCTGGTTAGTTTTGATGTTTTTAGTTAACTACTAAAATATTTTCCCTTTTTCAGATCATACCTATTTCTGCTAATCCTTATTTTCATTCCTGTGCCCCAAAAACTCTCTCACGATTCTAAGAAATAATTAATGAGATTGGATTTTACTAGTTTTAGCTCAGAGACCCCACAAAGTTCATTGCTGTTTTATGATCGTTCATCTGGCATAGTACCATCTGGTATATGCAAGAGTAATTAACATCCATCCTCCGCAAAGGATACCATCTTTCCATTTTGATATGGAGAAGGAACATTTTTGTTGCTGAGAACACTGCTGTTTTTCCTGTGTTCCTTTGCTGCCTTGTTTCTGAATACTCTTTGTCACTGATTAAAAACAATCAATTTCCTACATTTTCAAAAGTGACTAGTGATTTTGGGGGTGCTTTAATTGTTGAGTGTCTAATTTGTAGAGGAGGAAGGGGGTAATTGACTGGGCCCCAAGTGAGTTACAAGGACTCAGGGGGCCTCTGGCCATCAGCAGAACAGCTAGGCTAAGGCAGGCTTCCTGTCTACCCTCACTCTGCACTGCTCCCGGAAGCGGCCAGCACATCCCTGTGGGATGGAGAGTGGAGGAGTGGGGGGGGAGGGTGTCTCTGCATGCCACTACCCACAGGAACTGAGTCCAATGGGAGCTGTGGGGGCAGTGCCTGTGGGCAGCAGAATGCAGAGACTCTCCCCCACCTTGCCTGGCAGAGACTTCCCTAGGAGCTGCTGCCAGAAGAATGTGTCTGTTGCTTTGGGTGCAGCCTGAGGTAAACACTACCTTCCTGCAACCCGACCCGGTGTCCCAGCCCAGAGTGCGTGCCTTACACTGCACATCCAGACTCCCTCCCAGAACCTGACCCTCTCCTGCACCCAACTGCCTGCCCTGGCCTGCTGAAAGTATGTATCTGAGTGGCGGGAGCCAGCAACAGAGGGAGGAGGGATGGAGAGAGCAGGGGCAGAGCCTTGGAGAAGGAGCAGGGCAGGAGTCTTTAGATTTGCCAGGGTCTTTAGATTTGCACAGACAGTTGGCAACCTATGGGCATGAGAGTCTATGGGTTAAGTTTAAAGGAGCAAACAACAGCAGTGATGTTGTGGTTGGTGTCCGCTACGGGCCAGCGAATCAGGTGGATGAGGTAGACGAGGCTTTCTACGGACAACTGAGAGAAGTTTCCAGATCGCAGGCCCTGGTTCTCAAGGGGGACTTTAATCACCCTGACATCTGTTGGGAAACCAATACGGCAGTACACAGGCAATCCAGGAAGCTTCTGGAGAATGTTGGGGATAACTTCTTGACACAAGTGCTGAAGGATCCGACCAGGGGCCGTGCGCAGCTTGACCTTCTGCTCACAAAGAGGGAGGAACTAATAGGGGAAGCAGAGGTGGGTGACAACCTGAGAAGCAGTGAACATGAGATGATAGATTTCAGGATCCTGACTAAAGGAAGAAAAGAGAGTAGTAAAATACACACCTTGACCTTCTGCTCACAAAGAGGGAGGAACTAATAGGGGAAGCAGAGGTGGGTGACAACCTGAGAAGCAGTGAACATGAGATGATAGATTTCAGGATCCTGACTAAAGGAAGAAAAGAGAGTAGTAAAATACACACCTTGAACTTCAAAAAAGCAGATTTTGAGTCCCTCAGAGATCTGAAGGGCAGAATCCCCTGGGATACTAACATGAAGGGGAAAGGAGTCCAGGACAGCTGGCAGTATTTTAAAGAAGCCTTATTAAAGTGAAGGCACAGAAAGAAACCATCCCGACGCGTAGCAAGAAAGGCAAAAATGGTAGGAGACCGGATTGGCTTACGGGGGGAATCCTTGCTGAACTTAAGCACAAAAAGGAAGTTTACAAAAAGTAACTTGGACAAATGACCAGGGAGGGGTTTAAATGTATAGCTCGAGAATGCCGGGGGGTTATCAGGAAGGCGAAAGCACAAA